TGGTGATGCATGAAACGTGTGCAGAAAGAGAATTGACTAGGCCTTGGGGCCTTTCTGGAGGTATTGCTGCAGAACAGAGAGCCGTAAGTTGAGCCATAAGGCCTCCCTCCGAGAGACTCGTTTCCTCCCAGAGGTCTCTGTTCAAGTAAGTGGCACTGGACCTTTTACTCCTCAGAACTCCCCAAAGCCTGTGGCCCGCTGTGATTCCTGAAAGAGCAGGATGGAGTCACCTACTGGTTTCACCCGTCCAGTTGAGAAACAGCATTCCTCCCGTTTATCCCAATGATAAATTATTTTGTTAATTTTTCTTGTAGTTTTCCAGGATTTATGGCCCTGTCTAAGACCATATGCTCCATAGTGAACACCTTGAATGCAGAATGCTAAGAAATTTTTTTTTTTAGTACCAGGGATCGAACTCAGGACCTTGTGCATTCGAGGCAGGCAGCACACCACTGAGCTAAACCCCCGGCCCCAGAATGCTAAACAATTTAGACAGTGGCTTTTACCCCAAAGACATGATATAAGAGATCAAAAAAGAAAGGCACTTCAGAAAGGCATCAGGGTGAGGGCTGATCCCCAGGGCAGCTTGCCTGTTAGCGGATATGCCCTGTGTCAGAGCTGGGCCTCGGAGGTGGACCGTGTCTGAACTGCCTCAGAACTGGAGGACCAAAGGGGAGGGTAACTGAGAGAAAACGAGGGCCCCACTGTAGAAACACAAACTTAAAAATCTGCATACTTCCCTACATTGAAACTGGCAACCCAGGAAAGGGGAGAAGGGACAAGGCAAGACAGAACTTCGTTGAAGGTGGAAAATAAAAGCAGTAGGTTCAGGCCCCCAGTCTAGGTCTTCAACCTGCCTGAACTAGTTCCAACCAATGAGTCACGGGTAGGCAGGGAAAAGCCTTGTTCAGCACTAGGTCACACACACGGCAAGATGAGGGCAGAAGTGTGGAAGTTGCACTGTGCTGGGTAGAGCCGACAAAGGTCTGTCACAGAGTGGGCAACGCCTCACAGCCTTCTTCAAGGGGCAGACGCCCTAATGGCTCTTCCCTGTCCAGCCCATGCCTGTAATGAGTGACCAAAGACACAAGGGCCAAATAAATGGGAAGAAAAGAGAAAAATATGAAGAAATGTTTCCCCCAAAGGGGCCATACTTCCTGGCTGGGTTTGCCAAGTAGATATTACCAGGTTGGGGGTCTTGTGCGGGCTCTCGATATCCTAAACAAAAAATAAGGACCCGTAAGGGTAGCAGCAGGATCAATGATTTATTTGAAAGAGAAAAGATGAAATCCACTCCAAAGTAAGAGCAGGCAAGTAAGAAAAGCTCAGGACACCGAGGGGGCTCGGTTGAGGGTTGGGGGCTGGGGGTGCTCAGTGGGATGGAGAGCTTGGTCTGGGGTGTGACGGCTGCTAACGAATGCCTTGACCTGGCCCCTCCAGCCGGCCGTGGAAGTTTCGAACTTCCACGGTGTCCACACCCGAGGGTGGGGGAAGCCGAGTCCAAGTAGTCAGTGACACGGTAACCGGGGCTGAGGGGCCAGGGCTTGGGGGAGACGGCTGAGCGCACGTTAGGAGACGGCTGTGTATGTGCTGTTACCTGGTTCCCTTTTTCCGCTGTGTTTAGACCTGGCTTCCTGGTGCTGGACTAACATTTAGCTCAGAAAGTGGCTCTAGTCCCAGTTTTTCTCACTCTTTTTTTCCCCCAGAACTGGGGATCAGACTCAGGACAGCAAGCCTGAGCGACATCCCCGGCCCCCTCGTTTTTCTAATTACTGAAGGATGGTTTCCAACAGTGTCAGGAGTGACCCGGAAAGTGACAAGCCTTTTGTTTGGGACTGGTTATGATACCCATGACCTTGGCGCGGAGCTATACCCCGTCCTTCTTTCATCCTTCGCCTTGAGACAAGGCCTTGCTGGTTCTCTAAGTTGCCCGGATTGGGTTCAGCTTGTGATCCCCTGACTTAGGCTTCACAGTGCTGCAAGTCCTGGTTTCTGATTCCACGTCCCCTGAGGGCATCTGTGTCCTTCCATAGTGGCATCTAAATCAGAACTTCTTTCAACCGGTGGCAGAGACTAAAGGGATTATATCTACTTGTGCACACTCCCTATGAATCAGAACTTCAAGCAGAGGACTTAGTGATTCAACTTTGCAGTCACCAAAACATCCAACATTATGCTTATTTGTGGCAGGTGTTCATTTGTTAATTTGTTAAACAGGTTAATATCACTCGGTCCACTTCAGTCTCTTTCTCTGGAAACAGTACAATAGCTTTTGGATTAATTTGGCTTCTTAGTTACATTATGTAAACTAAAGACATTGAGCTGTCTCAAGGTTATGAATATTGTGGCCTTGTTGGCCCTGACAGTTCTGTCTGTAAGTTAAAGGTAAAATTGTGGACTACAAATCATTTTATTTTGGCATCTTTCTTTTTTTTTTTGTTACCAGGGATCAAACTCGGGACCTTGTGCTTGCGAGACAGGCACTGGAACCACTGAGCTAAATCCCCAGCCCATTGGCATCTCTGTTATCAGGATACCACCCAACAAAGTGATCACTGTCCAGGATTTGAGGAAGATGAATATAGTGTCAAAGGTCATGGTTACACAGAATTCACCAAGCACAATGTGGACAGAATGCTTAGCAATACAGTGTGATATACTATATAACCCTGAGAAATTCCTGTGAGTCTTCATGGTGGAAGGCACAGTGAGGCCTCTGTTGGAGATACACATGTGGTGAAGGAGTCTTAGTTCACAGGAGTCAAGAGTCTACAGAGTTCACACATGGCCACCGCACCCGACACAGCAGTTGTAAACCAAGGCTATAGGACAAACTTGCCTGCCTTGTCCACTGCTGTGCATTTGACCTTGGAATAAAATGAGCTAAATCCCCGGCCCAAATCATTCCTTTTTAATACCTTCAGCTTGAGTCAGGAGAAATACTGATAAAAATGAAGGAGTCGGAAAGGCCATTGTATAAGACGTCACCTCAAGTGAAGGGGATGGAGGAGATCACAGAGGTATCCTATGCGTCAGCAGCTGAGAAGAGGGAGACAATGCACTCAGAGGCAGTGATGCTACCTCAGCCTCAAGTTACTACCCCATCATCGGGACCCTAAATAGGAAGGAACTACGACGACTTAAACATGTTAATGAGAAATGACAGAAAACTTTCAAAGAGATCCAAAGGAGATGCCGATGCTAATGTAGTCAGAGGGGTGTTTATTAAGAATGACGATGTTTGGTATGTTTAGACACATAAATGATCAGAGAGAAATATAGCCAAAATAAAAATTAAATCACCATCTCAATAGGTACAGCCAAAGCCTCCTGTCTCCTGCTCAGCTGTGCACACATCAGGATGTCTGGTATTACTCTTCTCATAGGATACGGAAAATATATTGACTTCTACTTTGTTCAAATGACTATGTATGATCTGATATTTTAATTTTCTGCTTTTAAAACTGTGAATTAGGAATATCTTTATAAACATTTAATTAATTAAAAGTTAATGGTAAAGCCGGGGATTCAGCTCAGTGGTTTTGTGGCCTGCTGCGCAAGTGCAAGGACCTGAGTCCGATCCTCGGTACCTGCTCCCCAAAAAAGAATAACTCAGTGGTACAACTCAACAAGTAGGTTTATTTTCTCTATATAGCTTATTGTATCAAATTTATGTATTACCTTATAATAGTAAATGTTCTAAAAAGAATACTTAAGTTATTTAAATTCTACTACTTCTTCCTCACCTCCCAAGATATAATAGAATAATGTAATCTTATACCAACCTTCTGTGAGAATTTTGCCTCATTAAACACTGCACCTTATTTTATTAAGTTATTTTGTTGGAATCCAGTTCTATATTTTGGGAAAGTAACAGTATTTTCTTTTTAATTAATAAGAATTTACATTTAAAAAAATCTAAAATCCTCAAAATGTTTATATTTGCCTGTTACTTGTTGTATCATTATCTGTTTATTGAATTTATTCAATACATCAATCTGTAAATCTAAGTGGAAAGAAAAATTAAGCAATTAAAGATGAGAAGAAGAAAAAGAAAGTGAAGTAAATTATTCTACTAAGGAGTGAAAGGAAGTTAATAGAATTGGATAAAGATAACAAAAAAGAACATGAAAAAATAAAAAAGAAGAGTAAAAATTAAAAAACAAACTGATAAAGAGAAAAGAAACCGGAAAAAAGAAAAAGGGGAAAACCTCAAACACCCAAACTCCAATGGAAAAAAGAAATGAATGCAAAAAATTCTTGTATATTTGCCTGAGTGGTTTCTTTCCAGGATCTGCAGTTTTAGAATCCAGCAGGCCATAATTGTCTCCTCCTAACTTTACAGTCTGTGGGTTTGTGAGATGCCCCATGCTCCAGAGGCCCCTCTGTCTAGTTGAGCCCAGGCTATGGCAACTGTCTGAGCTGAGGTGTGTCCTTGCTCACACTGGTAGGTGGGGAAAGCAATCAGACCTCTGATGTGTGCTGGATGTAGGCAGCAGGGAGAGAGTCCAGCAGCCCATTTGACTTAGTGTCAGCACTTTCAGACCCAGCCACTTCTGAGAGCTACGTATGCCACGTCTGGCTTCTCACCATGGAGGGTAAGGCCCTGTGTCCATCCCCACCTGAGCTTAAACAACTCAAGGGCTCTATGTCTAACCTGCTCCTTGTCCATGACTATCTCCCATAACTCTCTTACCCAGTCACTGTGAGAGTGTAACACTGGGAACCCTGAAGTGAAATTGGTTTGTAGTTTTTCTGTGGCTCAGTCTCAAGTAATCAACCCCTTCTTGAAATGATCCCTGATTGAACACTCTCTGGCAACATGCTGGGTGGTAGATTTCTTCTCAAATTCCAGCCTGCAATGCCAAAGGAATAATTTTCAGAGTAAAAGCCTACACTGTTGTTATTACGGTTTACAATAGCTGAGGCCATTACTCTGGACTAGCACTGCTGGCCAAGCCCACTCTTTCTCTGTGGACCTCCCAACCTTGGGAGCTTACCTTGTGTCTGTAGAGATAGGTTCCTCTCCCCAGGAGCCAGAGTGAGCTCTCCCGTTTGCTTCATTCTTTCCTCTGCATTGTGCTCCATTAGTCCAGCTTCTCTGCAGTTTCTACTGTTCAGTTTCTTTCCAATTCCTGGAGATCTAACGCTTTTCTTTTTCTCTTTTCCAAGTTGTTATTTTCTGTGTGTCTGGATTCAAGGTCCCAGAGAGTCTGTATTTTGCTGCTGATCATTACTCTGTCATTTTGATCTCAAGTATTATTTTGTGTTACCCATAATTCTTTCCGCATCAACTGGTATCTGGTTTCTTATTTATACTAAAATCCGTTTGTCAGTGGGTCATAAATCACTGTCATTTTGGTCTGTGACTCAGAGGAATTCAGAGAATGGATGATAGTGTAACCTTGTGACTCGTTCCTTTACATCTACTCATTCATGTGGTTTTTATTTTTTTTAATTTTTTGGTACTGAGGATTGAACTCAGGACCTTGCGTTTTCGAGGCAGGCAGCGGAACCACTGAGCTAAATCCTGGCCCATCTACTCATTCATGTAACAAGTATCTTCAAAGCTTTCATCTAGGAAGATGAAAAACTCCATAAATTGTCTTGATTTAGCAATAAATGATATATAAAAATGAGGAAGTGCCCATTTAGCTCATAAAAATGCATTAACATTTAGCTTGATATATTTGATAAGTTTCAAAAATTTCACTACACAGGATTGATTAAAATATATGGTGAGTGCTTGAATTTTAAAATAATTTATTACAGCACCAGGGATTTAGCTCAGTGGTTCTGCCGCCTGCCTCCCAAGTGCAAGGACCTGAGTTTGATCCCCGGTACCAAAA